AAAAAAAAAAAAAAAAAGAAAAGAAAAAGAAAATAGAAAAAAACAAACCAACTCCCCCCGCCTCCCAAAAAACCCCTGGATTCTCAACTTCCTTGTAGGTGGCCCTGGCCCTAATTTCTCTTGAATGATGTAGTATTCCTTTTTTCCTTTGTCTAAGAAGACCTCTTATTTCCCATACCCTCCACCCAGCATTGTTATCAAATATGTTTACTTAGGCCAAAATGCATGTGCCTTGCTCATTGCCAATATCATCCCTCCCTTCTGGCTGGTCTTATGCCTGGAACTCACCTTTTTCCCTTTCTTTGCCTCTATGGATCTTATCCAACCTTCAGGACTCAAAGAATCCCATAAAACTTTCTCCACCGAGGCCAGTGCTCCAGCCAGGACCCTACCCCTCCGAGTCTCTGTTGTGTTCATCAACATCATCAATCAGTTAATATTAAAATAGCTCATGAGTTGATAATTTACAATAGCTCCGTGCCTTTGGCTATTTGGGAATAAATTAGGCATCTATCTTAGACTTCATAGTCAGTCTAACATTTTATGGAAGGACAGTCACATAGGAAGCATTTAAAAATGCCCGTTGAATGATTAAAGTCAAATTTTAACGTATTTGACCTAGAGAAACAAATATTCGCGATTGATAGTGATTCATTTTCCCTTCCCAGGCCTCCGTAAGGCAATTAGTTATAACACCCACAGCTAGCCTCACTGTAGTAACTGATATCCCTTAGGAAAGAATTAATGACACTGACCCAGACAGTTGCAAACGGTGCTGCCTGGGATGACTCACCAGCTATAACGGACACTTGGGTTCCTTTCCCCAATGTGAGTTTACCAGCTGTTCCGCCGATACTCCCACTGCAGGTGACGCCATTACAGAAACACCTGAGACCTACCTACCACCTACTGCTTAAGTAGGAGAAGTACTTCTCTCCTATTTAGGGACAGGAGAATTACAATCCTGAGAGTTAGATCTGTTCTGTCGTATTAGGATTTTGTCTCTGCCATGTACAGTCCTTTCCCTCCTGCCCTTTTCTGTGGTGCCCTACACTGAGGCTGTGCTTTCAACAAACAAGGTCCAGTAGAACGAAACCCCCTCTCCGTGCAGCAGTGTCTTGGATACTCTTGTGGAAGGTCCGGGATGACTTGCACATCACTTGCCTTGTGACTCCTAAGGTCTCAGCCTAATAACAAGCCAGAGCACTGAACACTGAATGGGAGGATTTTCCGGGAATGTCTGGAAAGAACAATTTAAGATCCTACAGAGGAAAATACCTGGGCTCAAGTCAGCATCTTGGACAAAGAAGGAAATAGCTGTCAATGTCCACTCTTCCCACTCTACTTACTTGGGCGGATGCTCAGTCTGGTCCCTGATCCAAAGATTAGGTTGTAGCTATTGCTGTACCCACTGTGGGTAAGGTCTTTGCAATAAACATCCTGATGCCAATCTGCTGGAAGCCAGCAGGGACTTAGAGCACCATTCTCAACGGCCCACTGGGCCTTTGTTTCTTAGATCTCCTATTTCTCCAGGAAACTATTCCCCTTTCTATTTACAGTAGTGTAAACTTTAGTACAGCAAAGCTTCGATAATAATAGTTATAATAGTAATACTTTAGCAAAGCCTCTGCTTATTGAACACTTATTATATTCTGGGCATTATTTCAAACAACCATGGTGTAGTTATTGTCATTTTTCTGCTGAGAAAGTGGAGGCTTTATTGAATACAGCTGGTG